GGGCCTCGCACGGTTGCGCCTGCCATAACAGCAGAATTGCAGGCAGGAGCCACAGGTGGGAGTGGGTTCGTTTGGGGTTTGTTTGCTCTGTAGAGACGCTGCTGGTTTGCACAGAGCAATCTAAGAGCCAGGTCCTGGTGCTGTCTCCATGTGTGGGTGCGGACGCTGGCCCCACGGCTGACCTCTGAGCTGGTGGGAGGTGTCCATGCCATGGCAGGGGGTCTGGGTGGGCTTTAGGGTTCCTTCTCAACCAAACCACTCTGTGTGTCTGTGGTACTTACACTTTTTCAAACTACTGTTACCTGGAGTGCTGGACCATTTTTCTTCAAACTCTCTCCCCCCAGGTATGGGAGCTCCCTCAGCACTGTGGAGGTGTTGGGTACAAAGAGAGGAAAAGAGAAGTGAACCCCATCTCCTCAGCTCTGTGTGGTTCCCTCTGCAAAGGAAGGAAGTCTCTTTCAAAAGCGAGCTGATGTCAGGCTATGTGCGTGTTGCAATGCACGGCTGCCTGCCTGTGTGCGGTAGGGGCTGCTTTGGGGTCTGCTGGCACCTCAGAGCAAGCTGCTGTTCACAAGTGAATAAAGCGGTTTGAGGCTTGTTTACTGAAGGGGCGATCAATAAATTGCTGCAACATCCACACGGCTCCAAACGGGAGCATTCTGGGTGGAAACCTTGCCGAGAGCCCCGTCTTCAGCTGGGGCACTCAGTACGGAGCTCCCGTCCTCTGGTCCTGCTCTCCTGCCGTCTATCCTTTCATCCTCCTGTCCTGCCATCCATCCTCCCCAGGCGGTTCCCACGCAGCTTTCGGGAACGGGAAGTGTGCATATACCCCCCCCTCGACTGGGTGCGCATTTCTCTGCCTTCCTCCCACCAACGTGGTCCCCGCATCCGGCTCAGCCAAACAGACACTGCTGTGCCTTGACTCACCGATGACCCGGCATGTGCCACCCGCGATAAACCACGACGCTGTGCTCACCGCATCCCCAGCCCGGGCTGGCAGCACCGAGGGAGGGGCAGCGCAGCCCCAGGATGGTAAGGGGTCAGGGTGTTGGGGATGATAAGGGGTCAGAGATGACAAGGAGTTGGGGTGTTGGATATGGTAAGGGGTTGGGGTGTTGGGTAAGTAAGGGGTCAGGAATGGTGAGGGGTTGGGAAACCGGTGGTCAGATCACGAGCAGACTCCGCTGCTCCTCCAGTGAGACCATTTCTGAGCAAGCCCTGTCACTGCCTTACCCCGGCTGCTTACTTTAAAATCAATTAATCATCCTTTTTCTAACAGCTGCCTAAATCAATGCGTCTGTCAATACAGTAACTTTTACATTGTTATTTGTTTTTAAAGCGCTACCGTTAGAGTGGTGTTTTTTAGGATTAAAAACCTCACTAAAGGTGTGTTTCTTCTTGGAGCCCGAGGTGCTGCTGTGAGGTGGTTCTGGCCAGGGTGAGCATCCATGGCTATTTCATTTTTGTCTCCTGCAGTACAAGGGTAGATGTTTGCTGGATGTAACTTTATGAATTTGTATGTGCTGTACTTTATTCTGCCTCATGATCTGCCTTTAAAATACAGCAGAGTGCTTTGGGAGCAGAGACCTGTTGAATTCTAGACACCAGAACAATTTTGAAAAGGATTAAAACAACTATGCGATGTGCAGAGACTGTGGCAGGTGTTGTGGCAGTCACGTTGCTCTTTCAGAGCTGAGACTTAGCTTGATTTCAGTTGTAATCTATATCCCATTTTTCTAACAGTTTTTCCCCTGCTATCTGGTTGTTTTTCTAACGATTAATGGCCAGCTCTCACTGACGCTTCAACTCGCAGCTCCCTGGGTGCGTGCAGGGTCTGCCTGAGGAGGAAGCACTCGCACTCTTACTCTGTTTCTGTCCCTGCAGCATGAAAGTGTTTTATTTTAACAACGTTTAGAAAGCAAGCAGTACCCATGGTGCAGCTCCTCAAAAGTTTTGCTCCTTGGAGATGCTGCTGGTGCTGTCCTCACACTGCAGCCGCTCTCACACCAAGGACGCGGTCACATTGAGCCATCCCTCTTCGAAAGGGCTTTGTGTGGAGAATGAGGAGATTCAGGAGTCAGGAGCAGGAACATCCTGTGTCTGCAGGAGTGGCTCGACATCCCCCGGGTGTGCGCTTCGTCCTCGCAGCGCTTTGCCCCCAATTTGGGACCTCCTGAGCAGCAAAACTGCACAAAGTGCTTGAATAACACTTCCATTAATTTAACAAATACATCCTCTCTGGCTTCTTACTGAATTCCGGGTAACGCTGCCATCACATGGTAGTGTTGCTGCTGTTGAGTCCATCCCGTATTGATCCTGACAGCACTTCTGTGTCTGTGAGGAGGGCAGAGCGGGACGGGGTGGGCAGGTTTCGCTCCCCCAGCCCCCAGGTTTGGCCACAGCTGACATATCATGGATGCCTTCAGGGGGTGCTCTGGTTCCCAGCTCCTCACACAGGTTTTGTACACCCAAGTTTTCATCCTGCTCGGTAGCTCTGGTCAAAGCTGGACGGGGAAATCTTGTGTGCATGAGGGGTGTTTGTGGAGTTCAAGTCTCTGCTTACCCTACAAGCTGTATGGGAACAGCATGCTGCATTCACCTATTACAGCAACAACATGAAAACAGCCATGCAATGATATCTTACTGATTTTTGGTGTTTATTTTTCTTGGTTTTGGCTTTCCAGGCTGTGAATGAGACAGGTAGCTGTTTGCTGATGTACAGAGACCTGGAAAAGTATTACCTTTCCACCATGTACAGCTTGGAGTTCATTTTAGGCTTCACTGGGAACACCATCGTTGTGTTTGGCTATATTTTCTGCCTGAAAAACTGGAAAAGTGGCAACATCTACCTGTTCAATTTATCGCTATCAGATTTATTGTTCCTGTGCACTCTCCCCATCCTGGTGAACAGCTACTCCCGGGATCAGTGGGCGAAGGAGAGCACCTTGTGTCACAGCAACAGGTTCCTGCTGCACGCAAACCTGTACAGCAGCATCCTCTTCCTCACCGCCATCAGCATTGACCGGTACATGCTCATAACGCACCCCTTCAGGGACCACGTCCTGCAGAAGAGGAGAACGGCCCTGGCAGTGTCTGCGGGCATCTGGGTGGGGGTGATACTCGAGCTGCTGCCGCTGATGTATTTCCTGGAGCCCTTAAATGCTGACAATAACTACAAGTGTCTGGATTACGCGAGCTCTGGAGACCCCGTGAAAAACCTCATCTACAGCATGTTCCTGACGGTGTTCGGGTTCCTCATCCCCCTCGTCATCATGTGCTGCTTCTACGTAAAGATGGTTCTGTTTCTTAAGAACAGGAGCGAGCAGCTCAGCTCTGCCCTGGCACTTGAGAAGCCCCTTGCTTTGGTGGTCCTGGCGGTGGTTGTCTTCTCTGTGCTCTTCACCCCCTACCATGTCATGCGCAATGTCCGAATTGCCTCCCGAATACCGGCCTTGAGTGTGTCTGCCTGCACCAAGAACATCATCAACACCATTTATATCGTCACGAGACCCATCGCCTTCCTGAATAGTGCCATTAATCCGGTGTTTTATTTCCTGATGGGAGACCACTTCAGAGAGATGCTGATGGCAAAAGCAAGGCAGCTCCTGAGCAGGCTGACAGCAACCTGCAAGTGAATGAACCCCCCAGCAGGGTACACGATGGCCCGTTACTACTGTAAATCAAATATCATCATGGCAGAACCTGGAGGGAAAATATGCCCCTCTTGGACGGCTTTTGTGAGTCATAACTCGGTGTTGGACTGGACCTTGGCTTGATAAAACGTGCCAGGATCAGCACATGGGTATCAAAGTTCAGTCTCTTCATATAAATGTTTCCAAACTCTGCGTCTCCTGGAAGATTTGCCTTGCAGAATAAGGGACTGGGACAATTTCCATTTCCAGCCAATGTTGGGAAGCACTGAAGCCTGAACAACAGGCTTTGAACTGAAGCTGACCTCTAGATGAATCTCACAACCCCATAGTATGTCTAATATGCATAGTATTGATCACACATGCAATGTATTATTTCTATCTTGCTATTACAATATGAATATATATATATATTGATGCTACTCTGTACAGCTTTGTTGCAAAGTTTATTGTGTGACAATAATCAGCAGATACAACGCTTATGGTGTGACAGCCATCAGCAGGAGACAGTGTGACCATAATCAGTAGATGTAATGCATGCTGCTTAGAATGGTAATCAGCAGAAAGGACCTTTTTTAAAAGCACACAACAAGGAAGTGATACCAGACATTTGGATTTGTTGAAAAATATTTGATCAAAAATCAAAATTAATAGAGAAGCTCATTTGGGTTCCTTCTTGAGCTTTGGGTGGGATCCAACAGGGGCTGGGGGTGACACTGGATGTTCCTGCATTTGAAGGTCCAGAATGGTTTATTCAATGTACAAAAGCTCTTGCAGCAACTGTGGAGAGCTCCCCCATGCATGGCTGCACTGTGCAGGACCTCCCCATTGCCAGGACAGGATCTCCACATCCTCACTGCAGGCACTGGGGGCCTGGGTAATGGTAACAGGTTATTGGGGCAATGGGTGATGTGTCTTAATCACTATGGCTAACTTTATGTAGTAATGATTGAGTGCATCACCCTGCTTATTCTTTCTGCTGCTTAAACTCGAGTATAAGCAGCTTATCTTTTTGCCTAAATGCATTACCTTATTTTTGTATTGCCTTGAAATAGACAGTAAAATAAGCCTGCTCTTTTGATTGGTGTCTGTGTCCTCTCTATCGACCCCATCAATTGGCAAACCATGTAGTGAGGGCTGGCATCTCAGATGTGGAGGAGATACAGGTTTACTGAACTTCCACATTCCATTCTCTAAGTGGGAGCAGAATGTATACCTTGGAGCAGAATGTGGACCTCACAGTTCAAACTTATTAACAGTTCTGCTAATGACGCAAGTGTTACAGAGGAGCCAGCCACCACGGTCAAGGCACAAGGACGTGGTCCTGTCAGTGTTACGAGAGCAAGGTCTGGTTTTCCCGTCAGCAGAAACTCTGTTACTGCCAGGAAGGTGACTCTGTACTCTGCGTATAAGTCAGGAAGAAACTTATGCTTTTGCTTTTGGTTTTTCAGTGTGGAAACAGTCCTCCAGAAGCTCAAGTTGCCCAATATGTGAGAGCTGTGGGTTACAATGCTCTCCTCAAGGCTGGGTTTGCTTGAAGAGGAGGCACTGCCACCCAGCACCATTCAGGCATCACCACCGGGGTCCTGTTGAGATCTGTCCCCGCTGTCCTGCCCAGGCCAGGACAGGGCCAGCACGAGCCCCATGACAGGGCTGGAGCCATGGGCACATCAGATGCCACTGCCCTCCCCATCAGAGCCATGTCTGTGCAGCACGTGGCATCCCACGTCTCTGCGGTCGATGGCCAGGAGGTGATTTCTCTTCATAAAGAAGGTGTAGTGACCGTTCTTGAGGATTAATGTTTAATTGTTTGGTTTGCTTTGTCCATTGAGGTGAACAGGGTCACTAAGGATACCTCCTGTGTACACACTGTAATCAAGTAATCATCCCCTCTAACTGTGTGCTCTTTCTATTAATACAGTATATATAATATATATACACTATAATACCATAATATATACTATAATATATGCTAGTTCTATTAATATATACTATAAATCCATCTATATACTGTTAAAACAGTGCAAAGTTAGAAACCAGTGTCTGTGCAACCTGAGAGCCCAGCACTACTTAACTGAACTCCCATACATTATATCCACTGGGTTTTGTAACAGCGATGCTATTACTTCTCTAGTGTGCGTACTGATCAGAGCACAGCACAGGAAATTTCAAAAGACAGAGACTAGCTAATTAGAAAATTGGTTACTAATTGCATCCAGCTGAAATGACTTACAGACTCAGGCAGCATACAAAACCAACATCTGAGATTTCAGTACGACCAACATAATGAGCCTTCAGACTCAGCGCTGAGCTGCTCCTGCTCTCCTGTGGCCGGAGGCAGCACTGCAGCGGCTCGCTGGCACCCAGACAAGGGCGAAGAAAAAAAATTTAAAAATAATGTAAAGAAAGTTTAATAATCCCTTAGTAACCCTATTTCTGAGTTTGTTTTTATCTTGATGATATTATATTGATTAGCGTAAAAAAATTAATTTTAACCCTTTCGATAATTTGAAAGAATTCAGTTTCCCCAAACTAATCAGGGAAAAACCTGATCGTTACACATTTTGCTATGGTGCTTCTGCTCTTGCGCGCAAAAATGCAACAACAACAACAAAGATTCCTCACAGAAATTATCTCAAAAAGGAATAAACAGTCTGTAGTACCCGACTAGAAAAAAAAATGAAAGTTTCTTTCCAAAAAGACTAATACTCGAGGTTTTGAGTAGGGTAGGGTAGGGTAGGTAGACGGTAGGGTAAAAACCTCTGTGCCCGAGGTGTGCTCTGCTCCCTCTTGAGCAGCCTGAGCTGCTGAGGGGTGTCCCCCCGCGGCCGGGGTGGGACAGGGGGGACTGTGAGGTCCCTTCCACCCACACCGCGCCCTGAGTCTGTGATTTTGGGTGTGGACAGCAAGCTCGGCCTCCGGAAGGGTAGGGTAGGGTAGGTAGACGGTAGGGTAAAAACCTCTGTGCCCGAGGTGTGCTCTGCTCCCTCTTGAGCAGCCTGAGCTGCTGAGGGGTGTCCCCCCGCGGCCGGGGTGGGACAGGGGGGACTGTGAGGTCCCTTCCACCCACACCGCGCCCTGAGTCTGTGATTTTGGGTGTGGACAGCAAGCTCGGCCTCCGGAAGAAGAGGAGCTTGGCGGTGAGTCAGGCTGCAAACAGCCCGAGCGTGTTTTGGTGGTGAGCAACCTAAAAATAAACGTTCGTGGAGGAGCGGGGTGCAGGGAGGGTCTCAGCATGGGCTCCCCCAGCGCAGAGCTGCTCCAAGCCCGGCCGCCTGCTTTCCCGGTCCAAGGCAGAAGCCAAGGTGCCGGGCTACTGCCGGGCTACTGGTCCCCGCTGTTTATGGGCTGCAGTGTCAGCCCGACAGAGGGAGTGATGCTCCCAAAATCCGCCTGGGCTCAGGGGCAGGGGTCGGGGGGCTGCACCCACCTCTGCAGGGAACCACAGCTTGCCCCAAACCCATCTGGTGGGCTAGGGAACACAGGAGTGCATTTTTAACTCCTTGAAAACCCAAAAGAGCCTCAGCTCCTCTGCAGTTCAGAATATGTTAAATGTCCTAAAATGTTCTTTTCTTACATTCAAGACTGGGGAAAACCAGCAAGGGAATTCACAGGATTGCCCATCACAGCTCCCCAGCACACCTGCATCAGGACAGGACCCCGCTCCTCTCTGTACCAGCTTCCCAGCCTCTGGCCCGCATCGTTTCGGTAATGGTTTATCACGGTATCTTCCCAGAAGGATGGGATCGCCGCAGTCCCCCGCAGCGGTCATGCTATGCGAAAGGTGGCTGCCTGCAAAGAGAGAAAGCACAGCCGGGCAGCTCCAGCCTTTGAACTACCGATGTTCACAGCAACAGAGATATTAACTCAGCTGACTTGTGCTTGTTTTCAGTTTGGTTTCCACTTTCTAAAATTATTTAAGCTAAATAATCTTCCTGAAACCCAGGAGGAACTTAATTCCTTTAAGAGTCTGTAAGCCAGCCAGATGCTCTTTTTCATTTGTTTAACTTTTATCTCAGCAGCACCTCCAAGGTCTATGGGCAGCATCTGAAGTGTGCAGTAAAATACATGCTTAAATGCTTACTTTTTTACATATTTGTTCAAAGCAGCTTTATAAGAAGTGATTGACAACACAGGGTCTGACCCAAATGCGTAAACATGCTGAGGATCAAATATCGATGCTATGGGCAAGGGGCTGTTAGACTTGTCTTAATTATTTTTATTTTTCCATGTCTTGTCTTGATTCTGACCCACATAAGTGAAGCCAGACATTTAACTGCTGCTTTTGGTTCCTGTTGTCCATTCCCACACCTTTGACCACTTCACGTAAGAATTGCAGGATGGAAACCCTCATGAATAACCTTCCAGTTGAAATAATTAAGCCATTTAATAAATAAAAGCAATTCAACAGCTTGCATGCTGACTTTTGTCATAAATCCTGCACTCACAGCTCCTATGAGGCTCACTCTTATGAATTCCTGGCCTTTCCAGAAACCTGCTTTGGGCTGATGAGTGCTGTTGAGCAGCCAAAATGCACTGCCAGCTCCATTTCCGCTGGGAAAGACGGAGATGGTGCCTTGTGGAGCCCAACTTCCCGACAATCCATAGGCAACAAACTGCAGGTGATGAAGGGCTGGGAGCTGTGGTGCTGACAAGGTGATCAATCCCACCTGTCCCAACCCATGGGCATCCCAACAGATTGGGGGATTAAATAGGAGCTCTGCCTGTGGCTGCTTGGTTTGGGATCCCCCACCCAATGGTGCCCGTGAGTGGGAGCACTCAGGGTGCTGCGTCAAGGGCACATGAAGAAAGAGCCAGCTGAAAAGTGTAAGGATGAAATTACATTTCTCTAACTAAATCATAAACTGCAGCAGAAAAGTTTGCTGCTGGATGTGGCATTTCTTCGGATAGCCCTGTTAGATGATGTGCTGGAGAATCAAAACCTGTGTGTGCATTTTGTGTGTTGCTGGGCTGTGGGGTGAGCC